ATATATTTTTTTTTTTTTTGTATGCGTTTGTTTTGTTTTAGAGGATGAGCAGAAAATGACCGAACAGTAAGTTTGCACAACTTACAACTTTAATAAGCCAGTTGTCACAAACTACAAAACAACTCTGAACTCTTTTCTAGAAAGACTAAACCACATGTTGGGGTTGAAACTAGAATATGATGCTTGCATCATATTCTAGTTTTTTTTCATATTCTATGATTTTTTACAGCCCCCTGTTCTCAATAAAAGCAGAGATGGGTGCAAATGAACAATTTTCATCTTCTAGACCAAGGTTTTTACAGAGAACATGTTGAAACATATGAAGAACAAAATACAGATTTCCATTTATTAATGACACTTCTGCATTCATCTTATTTGGAGGAACTAGAACCACAAACACGACCTACATTTACTCAAATGCAAACCATGTAACCCAAATAAGAAAACAATACTCAACCCTGAAAAGTTAGAAACTTTGAGCCTGTCTCATAATGCAGACATGCAAAATCTTTGTTTTGTATCTACAATCATTTAAATTTTTACTTTAATTTAGCAGATAAACTTTAAAAAAAGACCAAGTTTGTTTTAAAATTATTTTACAGCCCCAAAGTTCTTTCAGTCAGCCTGTCAGTTTAGGTATTTTGTTTGTCGCCTCTTTGTCGCGATGCTCTTTTTCTTTTCTCTTCCTTCTTTTCTGCGCTTCGCTGTCATATTTTTTGTTGTCCGCCATTGTAAAATAATATTCCCTGATGCTCCTCCCCAATAAGTAAGATGCGTCAAAAGTGGACCAATAACAAGCAAGCATTCAAGATGGACGTTTGCCAGAACAAATTGGAACATTTTTCATCGGTGCTGTCAAAATCATCATAGTCATTGATTAAATTCTGACACTGTCCATTCACAAAAACATAAAACATCCTTCGGGGCCCCCGAAATGCCGGGGCCCCGGGCTGCAGCCCCTGTAATCCCCTGCTAAAATCCGGCCCAGGGTGCACCATTGAGAGCCTGCTGACAGGCTGCATCACAGGGTGGTACATGAACTGCATCATTCAGAGCCGGAAAGCACTACAGAGGGTGGTGCAAACAGCAGAGGACATCACTGGTAGAAGTCTCCACACCATCCAGGACATCTACCACAGCCGATGTCTGCGTAAAACATGCAGCATCATTAAGGACCACACCCACCCAGCACAAGGACTCTTCCATCGCCTACCCTCAGGCAGATGATACAGGAGTCTGCTATCACGTACAAAAAGACTAAAGGACAGTTATTATCCACAAGATGTCAGATTACTGAACTCTTGATAATAATACTGAACAATTGACAATAACATTGCACTAAGCCACATCTGTGACACCTAATATGTTTATTGCTGCTGCATTATGTGGCTGTATCATGTGTGTCACTACCATACCATCATAAATGATTTCAGTGTTACTTAATACCTGTGCCACAACCTGTGTAGTTTATGTTAGTTATGTGCAATATATATAACCTGCATTTAAGCTTATATTGCTACCTTGAAATACATATTCATACAAATTCATCCCACTTGCACCGTTATATTCTACCATATTGTTACCATTTTTCTTTTGGACCTTGAAACTTTTATATTTCATTTTCACTTTTTGGCACTCTCTTTTGCACACTTATTGCATGCCTTAGTATTTCTTGTTTGTTTGTTACCACACCATACCAATATACAAAATGAAGTAAATCAGAATATAGACGTAAAAACGATGCAGATAATAAATATGACGACAAACCAGTGTAGAGCATACAGGTTCACAGCATAGATCCTCTGGTGTTGAAAGCTACTGAATAGTAGTGGGTTTTTAAACGGGATTTGAAAACCGAGAGGGAGGGGGCCAGTCTGACAAGCAGAGGTAACTCATTCCAAAGTCTTGGTCCAGCTACAAAGAAGGCCCTGTCACCTCTGCGCTTAAGACGAGTTCCTGGAACTGTGAGGAGCAACTGGTCCGCTGACCTCAGGGAACGTGGTGGGACATACGGTTGTAGCAGATCAGAGAGATAGTGGTGTGTGTGTGTGTGTGTGTGTGGGGGGGGGGGGGGGCGAAACTGTTCAGTGATTTGTAGACATACATGAGTATTTTGAACTGGATTCGAAGGTGAACCGGTAGCCTGTGCAGTGAGTATTGTTCTTTGTTAAGAGCGAGTCAGATCAGTTCTTCTCATCCTGACCATTTCATTGTACTGTTGGCCTTGTGTTAACCTGCATATGACAAATAAACAACATAACAAAAAAAATAATAATAATTTGTACCCATCTTTTATGATTGTCCACTGTTGTCATCACTCTTTGTTAAAATTCCAGTCTCTCTTGTAAATGAGTCCCCAAGGCTCAGTGGGACTAACCTGTCTAAATAAAGGTTGAATGATTAACAGAACAGCATTGTTAAGTGATTCGATTCAGTTCTGTTCGGTTCAGTTCTTCAAATGAACACTGTACCTTTAAGAACAAGGTGACCTCCCCCCTCACTGTGACGTTTCCTCCCCAGCATGCTCACCAGAAGTCAAATGGTTGCTAATGGCGGGTATTGTACAAAACACTCGTATATTCTGATATTCTTTGCTCGCTGGTAGTTTAAACGCGCAGTGGTGATTTTCAGAGTGTAGTCCCTCGTGTTGCGACCGATTCTCATTTATAGAAGCAGCGCAGGAGTCGAACAGGAGGAGTTGTAGAGAGTTGTCCTCGTGCGGCGGCTCTAATGTGTCAAAGTGAAGCTGGGCAGGAAGGCGGCGTGTTGGACTCGAATTTATTAGCTTCAGGCTATGCGAACTCACGGGCCCGTCTGCTTCGTCGCTTCAGAGCCACAGCTGGACAAATAGTGACCCCCATGAGACAGAGACGGTCCAGCTTCTGAAAAAGACTCGGCGTCCATTCATTGAACCGTTGGTTCCGTTGCACAAACCACCGGAAGCGATGCTGCTGCGCGTGTTGGTGTTGATGGCCGTCACCAACTTGGCGGACGCTTCTTCCAAGCTCAATATTCCCAAAGTGTTGCTGCCGCTCGCAAGAAGCACGAGAATTACCTTCACTCTGGAAACTACCGAAGGCTGCTACAGATGGTGAGTCAATACATTTAAAACCAAACACCACAATTACTAATAAATGTTCTATTAGAGAAGCCTTATACACTTATGCATGCTCACAACCACACACAAATAGAAGCAGGGATGTTTATGTAGGCTTTATATGTAGATATATAGATATGTATGTGAGTGTATATTCATGTGTATGTATGTATGTATGTATATAGGCGTAGGTATGGGTATATATATTTATTGAAACTTACTGCAAAGCCATGAATATTTTAAGTTCTTTATACATATGTATTTTGTTGCTGTGTTTTGTCATGTTCTTTGCAGGTGAACAGACAGTGGCCGGGTGTTTTGAAGTGTGCTCTATTTGTATATATTTCTTATATTTTGGAGTCTTACTTTGTCTTTTCTTTTTTTCTATCCTATTAAAAAAAAAAAAAAAA